CCTTTCAAATGAGGAAGTACAATTTATAATCTCACTTTCCTTCATTATTTATTCATCCTGCTGTTGAATCATCTGCTCTTCAGAACCTGAAAAGCCACGGAGCTCCCTTTACCTGCCGCTGTTACTCTACAAGGAAATTCAAGTTTTGTGTTTGAGTCAGTCTCAAGCACAGGGTGAGGGGAGCTCCACACAGATCCTTTTCTTGGGCCCAGTGAGTCTGAAATTCCTACAATTCCAGCCTGGTTTGGGCTGGAAGGGACCTCAAACTTCATCATTTTCCACCCCAGCCATGGCAGGGACACCTTCCCCTGTCCCAGGTGCTCCAGCCCCAGTGTCCAGCCTGGCCTTGGGCACTGCCAGGGATCCAGGGGCAGCCCCAGCTGCTCTGGGCACCCTGTGCCAGGGCCTGCCACCCTGCCAGGGAACAATTCCTGCCCAAAATCCCATCCAAGCCTGTCTTCCTTCAGCTGACGGACACAAATTCCACAGAACTTCTGCTGTCTGGCTCTCCCTTCAGGCTCAGTCTTTGCTACACCTGGATTGCTGAAGATGTAGTGATGGTAAAAACAGACATTTTTTTTTTATTTTCAGCATAAAGCCATGGAAATAGTGTTTTCTTTCCACTCTGGAACTATGTTTGTAGCAATGCCCTGAATGATTGCCCCTGTGTGAACTCATAGCTCTGCTCCTTTCAAACAAGCCTCTCACCCAGCAGAGCTTTATTTAACCCCACTGCCCATTTCTGGGTGCAGCAATTTCCCAGTGCTGAATTTTCAGCACAAAACCAGGCTGCCCCTGGATCCCTGGCAGTGCCCAAGGCCAGGCTGGACACCGGGGCTGGAGCACCTGGGACAGGGGAAGGTGTCCCTGCCATGGCAGGGGTGGCACTGGCTGGGATTTGGGGTCCCTTCCCACCCAAACCATTCCAGGATTTTATCCCAAGTCTGGCTCTCAGTGGGCACCAAGGGCTCAGGAGAAGGAAATCAGGTCCTTAACCCAAAAGCTTCTCCAGAAGCATTCCCTCATCAATAAGACGCCCAAAATGCCCTGCTGTAAGAGCTGGCACTAAACCTGACCCACCTCGCTGCTCTCAGCACAGAGAGCAACACTGGGGTGAAGAAATGACAGAAAATCTTCTCTCCCCTTCCCTAAAGGAACTGTCCCAGCTGGGGGAAGTGATTTGCTGCACACAGGGACTGAGAAAAGCAAAGTTTAGACAGGGCAGGATTTTGTGACTCAGCTTTTATCAGAACTGGAACGACTTCAACAGGACGCTCAGCACAAGTGATGGAACCCTGGCCATAAATTCAGACAGAAAACTCAGAATGTTATTTACTAGCTACCCTAAATCACCCAATCTTCAGTGAAATAGCCTCCCTTCACCAAATAACTCACACCAGCTATTTCCCTTTGCTTACAAACTCTGTTAAAAACTCCTCAGAATTCTTTCCCTTCTCGGCTTTGCTCAGAAATGCACATTTTAAAGCTTCCCAGGCTCTCTCCTTGCTGAGCTGCTGAGTCAGGGACTGAAGCATCTGGCACTTGCTGGGAGGTGTTGAGTTCAGAGAACTTAACTTTTATTTAAAGGCTTTTTATGTTCAGGACTCAAACACAGCAGCACCCTGTTGGTGCAGGGAGTGCTCAGGGCTTGGGGATGGATTCCTGCCCCTCTCCTCGTGCCTGTGAGGATGAGGGTGGTGAGGATGAAGGCTGGTGCTCAGGAAGGTGCCCATGAGCAGAGGGAGGGTTTGGGAGGCTCAGGGAGGATTTTAACGGTGTGATTTTAGCTGTGCTCTGCCCTGCTGGAATATTCACATTCCACTGAACTCTTGTTATTCCCAGGGCATGGACAAGCCTGGCTTAGGGCACCACTGACAAAAGGAGAGGCGTGTTGACACTTCTTTATTAATTAAGGCATAATTAATAAATCAGGATTCAAGTTGCGGCTGCCCCTGGATCCCTGGCAGTGCCCAAGGCCAGGCTGGAGCACCTGGGACAGGGGAAGGTGTCCCTGCCATGGCAGGGGTGGCACTGGCTGGGATTTGAGGTCCCTCCAACCCAAACCATTCTGGGATTCCACGTAATTAACAGGTAAATGTTAATGGTTTGAGAGGGAAAAGCTTCCCAAGGAGCTGGAGCATGGCTGGGCTTGGAACAAGTGGAAAGGGGAAGGACCTGGGTGGTCAAGGCCTGCCAGAATTTCATTAATCAGTGACCACGGCCTGCCCACAGCCAGCAGTGGCCAGCATGGGGTGACAGCACTGCTGGTGGGAGAGATTCCAGGTGGGATCTGCACGTGGGGACACCTCAGGCTGATGCCACAGGCCTGGAACCCTCCACAGATGAGGAAAAGCCTTGGTGCTGCTGTAGGTCTGTGTTCCATCTGAGCCTTCCCGAACCTTCACAGGCCTCTCACTGTGCAATTACAGGAGGATTTTAGTCTGATTATACATTAAAAACTCCCCTCTCCAAAGAAACTCAAAGATCAGAGACATTTCCTTTCAAGTATTACACTGAAATTTGAACACTCCTGCTGCTTATTACAAAATGTTTCTGCAAGGCACTGTGGAACTCATCGACTCGATACTTTTATTGTCAGAATTGTTTTGTTTTCTCTATAAATCCAAGCATTTCGCTTCCATACCCTTCTTTTTTTATGAAAATGTTGTTAGGGAAGTTTTAGTCACAGCTTGAGCAGGATGCACAGTCACAAGCCACTGCTGTGGGTACATTACCAGGACCATGAGAATCACAACCAAACACAAAATAAATGACATGTTTGTCCTTCAGCTGGGTGAAAATGGGAATGCAAAGTCTAGAGTCTTATTTTTCCTGATCCCCACAATTCTCTAATCTTATCAAATATACATTCCCATATTCCAAGGCAGCCTGATAAAGCAGCTTGCTAGAAATAAGTTGCATTAGATTGTGTGTAGAGCACATTTTCCTGGGAAATCCAATTTCACAATCATGTTCTGGTGACATTTAGCCATTGCTTAGTGCAGCAAGGCTTCCTCGGGTATTTGAAACGCTGAGTCCCGTGGCAGCAGGACCAGGGCAGGGATTGTCCCCCTGTGCCACCACAGGGACCTCGAGGGCTCAGTCCAGCTCTGGGTCCTCACTGCAGGAGAGCCCTGGAGGGGCTGGAGGGTGGACTCTGGGGTCTCGAGGTCCTGTCCCACCTCGGGGATCCTGTCCCCTCCTTCCCCAGCCCCTGCTCCTCCCTGGCTCCGCTGACCCTCCGCAGGCAGGGAAGGATCACTCCCCCTGCAGCCCAGATTCCCAGCACAGCCCGGCTCCAGAGGCTGCCTGGCCGTGGCACAGCTGCGCAGGGAGCGCGCTGTCCCTGTTTGTCTGGGAGTGGAGGTGCCTCCAGGTTCATAAATCTGTATGCAGTAGTAGGGGTTCTCTACCAGCAATTCATTTTAATTATGTGAGACATAAAAAGACCACCTACAGATGAGACAATACAGCTGTAAGATTCTCAAGGTTACTACAGGGAATACTTCATAACTGAAGTATGTTTTCCCCGAGGAATTTGACTACCATTTGATTTAATTTTTAATTTTTACATTTTAATCAAAAATAGATCAAATGGTGGTGTTGTCCCCTGGGAACCATACTTCAGATATGAAGCAGTCCATGTTCCTTTTAAATATGTAAAGCTGCCATTTATGTATAACTCATGAATGACACCCTGTGTTGCAAGCAAATATCACGCGGCGATTTCGGGATCGTTGCAGTAACAACACCATAATCACACCAAAATATCAAAACATCCCCCAGCACAGGGCCAGCAGCACCCAGGGACGCCCTGGCAGCTGATCCTGGCCATGCCCAGGGGAAGGAAGAGCCCCAGGATGGAGGATGTGCCCGTGGAGGTTGTGCTGATCCCCCTGGGTGGAGAAGCCAGGGAGGAGCAGCTCTGGGAGCTGGGCTTGGGTCAGGAGCAGAGTTTGGGACATCAGAGCCAAGCACGGCTGCTCCAGGCTTGGGAGAGGCTGCACAGGGGCTGGGGACAGGGATGGAGGGACAGACACAGGGAATGGCTCCCAGTGCCAGAGAAGAAGCAGCCTCAAGCTGCGCCAGGGGAGGTTCAGGATGGAACTTGGGAAAATTCCTTCCTGGAAAGGGCTGGAGTCCCCATCCCTGGGGGGATTTCACAGCCCTGTGGAGGTGACACTTGGGGACATGGGCAGTGGTGGCCTGGGCAGGGTTGGACTCCAGTGGCTCAGAGCCTTTTCCAACCTGAACAATCCTGTGACCCTGTTGCATCCTCCTGGCATTTTTTATTTTTCTCTGTTTTTAAACATTGTGGCCTCTGCTTTTTGTGCTTCCTTGAGAAGAGCTGGGAACAACCCAGGAGGGGAGAGGAATGGCTGAGTCCTGGTGTCCCCAGGGTGGGGGAGCTGCTGGAGCCCTGGCCCAGCCACTTGTCACCCCTGGGAAATGAGGTGACAGCTCCTGCCCGTGCAGGAATTCCCAGCCAAGTCCCTTTGCCCAAAGCTGCAGGCTGGTCCTGCTCAGAGCAGCAAGCCCCAGCATGGACACGCAGGGACCCCGAGTGGAAGCTGGCTGTGGGAGGAAATGCCCCGTGTGAGTGTTAATTGGATAATTATCTGCAGCAATCAAGGCAAAGGCAGAGTTGTTTATGTGTGACTCTGAATCTGCCAGCACAGGGTATCACACCACGCTCCCCGGAGAGCTGCTGGGGTTTTAAGCAACTAATTTAGACATAAACACCACGGGTTTGAAATCTAATACAAATACGAATTGTAATATCTAAAATAAACAAAAATAAATTTAAATACATTAACTGTATTCAACACACAAGTCTTGTCTTGTCAGACCCACGTTGCCTTTAAACTCCACTTACGCAATATTTTCATTTTCCATCTTTTTTTGGCAGTCAAGATGCCAAGTGGACCTGTAATTACCATCAAATTAATAAAGTGAGCACCTAAACCTACTACAAAGATTTTACATGATACAAATAATATTTATTCTCATCAGAGGTTTTATTTACCTTTATTCTTCAGAAATCATTCATGGAATAACAACCAGACAATTCCATGCTGCAGCCAAAGTGGTGTTTAATGCTTCTGCTTTTATAAGGAACAATTTACAAAATACAAAGTTAAAAATAAGAATTAGATCCTTTAAACCTGAATTAAAAACAGGCCAGGGGCCTTTCTCTATATATACAGGTAAATAAAGCATCACTCTGGTTATTCTGTGTACAAACCACAGCAGTAGGAAATAGAAAGTTTACATATCTTTTTTCATCAACAAAATTTCAGAGTTTACAAGGCATACAAAAATAACTCTGTGGTTCCACTGCAGATTTGACACAAATCTGCTTTAAAGGAATATTCACTGCCCCAGCCTGTGCCAGCCTTATGATCCTGGAAAATCCCAAAATAAATTACAAACACATCTATTTAAAAAAATATCACCATTAAAAGCCTTCAGTGGAGCAGACAATTAAACTCCAATTTGCTTCCAGCCTGACTGATTTAAAAAAGCACTCCTTGCCCTGTTGGAAAACATGGAACAAGGAATCACATCTGAGAGGAAAAGTTAATTCTGGAATTGATCCAGGAGCTTCTGCCTTCCAATCTGGGGAAAATTCAGGATAACGGGGGTCTGAGAGGAGCTAAAGGTGATTTTATCCAGAGGAGAGTTTAGGAGGAGCCAGGGCAGCAGTGCCCTGGCACGGTGTGAGTGTCTGTCTGAAACTCCCCTCGTTCTTTGCCTCTCGATCGTCATGGAAGTCGAGACCACCGGGGAAAGGAGAAGATCCTGTTCTGAAAATCCAGGTCTGACTGGTCCACCAAGCCACATTATTGTCTGTGGGTGTGTTTGCTCTCCCAAGGGACGCTGCACCCCATGAATAAGGCAAGGGACACCGTGCTCTCCTTCGCCTGCATCGCTTAGCAACGCTGGCCCTGGAATTTCTCCACCCTCCCGACTTGGCTGGACTTTCTCTGGAATGACCTTCTCGGTGGTCACCACAAAGACCCTGCATTCACCTCACATCAACCACGGTGACAGATGGACTGAGAGGGGAGAAGGTTCTCCCCCAAGGACTGAGACATGCCACCCCTGCATGGAAAAGCCCCCTCTCCTTCCCAAAGACCGAGATGAAATCCCAGAGCGGGGAAGGCGTGTGGGGAAGGCCAGGTGACCAGAGCAAGTTTGCAAGTGACCACTGGACCCACAATGGCTCTCGCCCACTGCTGAGATCAGGGACTATTGCATCTGTTCTCCCCACTCAATTTTCAATAATAAAATCCCCTGGGTCAGCTGGGGGCTGTTGGGATCTCCCCTGACGTGATCCAGGCTCCCTCGACTGCACTCTGAAGGATCCCACGTCTGGCAGCTATACCCCTCTTTCCTTTTTCCCTCTCTCTTTTCTCCTTTTTCTTTCCCTTTTCTTCATTCTCCTTTCTCCCTAACGCTGTGGTCATTCAATAAAGGTACATTTGTTTTGATTTTTACTGCAAAGCCCCCTTGTCGTGTCAGTTTTTGCACCCTGAGATCAGTGAAAAGAACCTCCACAAATCCCAACCTTAGGACAGATCGTGTCACACGGGAACACCTGGGTGTGACCTGCAGGGAGCAGCTCCAGGGGTTCCCCGTGGGGCCAGCCCCCCAGCATGGAGCTGAAATGTGCATTTCTGCAGAGCCAGCGTGGGCAGCCCTGGCACAGAGCGGCTGGGCAGTGCCAAGGCCAGGCTGGATGGGGCTGGGAGCACTGGGACAGGAGCTGGATGGGCTTTGAGGTCCTTTCCAGCCCAAAGCAGGCTGGAGCTCTGCAGGGAGTGGGGTCTGGGACAGCTGGAAACGAGGGCAGGCTCCTTTGCACTGCCTGATGCCCTTTTTGGGGCTCACTCCCAGCACAGATGGCATTAGGAGGAGAATATATTTTATTTATTGATTTCAATATCAGAGCTGACTTGCTCTGCTTTCCCCTCTGTGCTCCTGGAGAATGCCCAACACAGAGAGCCCAGTTTGGGAAACACCCCAGTGTGGGAAACACCTGGGAATTCCCAATGTCCCAATGTCCCTGCCAGCCTGAGCTGCATGTGGCATTTGGGACAGGGGGAAGGATGTCCCTGCTCACCCAGAGCAGCTCCCAGAGCCAAAAGCAGGACCAGGTGCTCCTGGATTGCCCAGCTGTGGAGCTCAGGAATGCCCTGGATGAAATGCAGGGAAAGGCCTGCATGCCCAGTGCCAGTGGGAAATTCTCATCAAATAAATGAGCAGCACACAAATACTGAGTTTACTCAAGGAACACACGAGGAAATAAACCTAAAACCAGACCTGCACTAAACTGGCATTCAGATTTTGATTAAAAAGAAGAAAAAGAGTTCCCAAAAATCCCATTAAAATTCTGCTGCAGGCAGCAGCTGGGAGCAGCCCTGGGATTCACCACGACATTTCAAACCAAGGCTGGAAAAGCAGGAGAATTTAAAAGGATGTGCCACAAACCCCAGCAGGAGCAGAGGAAAGCCAGAAAGGAACCAGCTGGCTCTTGCTTTTACCCCAGTCCAGACCAGATCCAAGTTTAAAGCAAACAGAGGAAATGTTGACACAGGTATCTGTGCACTCCTGAACACGATAAAATGGGAGTTATTTAAGGAAAAACCACTTTTTGCTTTGATAATCCACGGATTCCCTGTGTTTTGAACTTGATCCCATACTTTTGCATGATGTATCCTGGCAGACAACTCTTCCATCACAGAGTCTGAGTCCAGTTTTGGTATTCCCCTCTTTGAACACCTGAAATTTTGACAACATTTAAGCAATTTTTGACCAGTCCTAATCATTACTAGTCACACTTGAGGTTTTGAGTGATTCTGCAGGAACTAAACCCTTTTAACCCTTTACATTTAATCAGATATTTCAGCTTTTGCAGCACAGAAACTGCTGTTTATCTACTTTTTTTTTTTTTTTTAAATACTGCTTTGATGACCAGGATTTTTAAAAGACAAGGGTGGGGGATGTAAAAATGAATTCCCCACAAATTCTGACCCCCAGATCTTGGTATCAAGTATGTAAATACTAACTTGAAAGTACTTATTGTAAATCTAACTAAAATTTTTATTGGCTTGGAGGAATTTTTTTTTTTAAAACCGAAATCTGAATGCCAATTAAGTGCAGGTCTGCTTTTAGACTTAATTCCTCATGTATTACTGAATTAAACTCAGTATTTATGTGATATTCATTGATTTAATGAGAATATCTCAACTCAGTGCTGACTCCAACCCCACACACAACATGGGAAGGATTCAAGGACTGCAAAAAACCTTTGCCTGTGGATTTTGCAGCCTGATAACCCCCAAAATTAACCTTTCAGAGGTTAATTAACCTGTCCTTAGATTGGTGCCAATAAAAGCCTGCTGGGTAACGAGGTCAAGCCTTTTTAAACAGATTTTTTTTGGGATTTAAACGTAAGCTTCAATGGGATTTTTCCTGGACTTCACAGCTGCAAAGCCACTTAAAAATGAAGATTTGTGTCCTCCCATTCGTGCCTGTGGCCCTGCACAAGGAGGATTTTCCACAGCAGCGTTTTCCAAGGGGGTCAGGGCTGTTGGGAAAACCTTTGGAATCAACACAAGCTCTGGCTCAGTCCCAGGTGAAGCCTGGGCCCACGGCCAGCTCAACCTAACCAGTCTAAAACCTGAAATCTGCCTTTCCTTGTCCTTTTAAAACAAATTCTGAGAAACATGAAATCTGCCTTTTCTCATCCTTTTTAGACAAATTCTGAGCTACCTAAACAAGAAATCAGCCTGTTTTTGTCCTGTATGGCCAAATTGTGAGCCACCTGAGGAGCAGCAGCGTTTTGGGCAGGTGTGAGCTTGCAGGGCACGGTGCCCAGAGGGGCAGCAGGGCAGGGCCCAGGACCAGCTGCATCCTGGGGATCCAGCAGGAAATCTGAGCTGCTCCTCTGCCCCTCTCCGTTTCTAGAAGCCCAGGATGTGACTGAAGTGGCCCTGGAATGAGAAAAATCTCAGGTCAGGACAAAGGAGCTTGGCAAAAAGGCTTTTCCTCACTCTTCATTGTCAAATTTTATTTGAAATCGCTGAGTACCACCACAAATATTCCCTTTTTTTTTTCTTTTTTTCCCTCCAGGGATGAATGGAAATAAATTAACACAATCAATGTCTGCTCAGTCACAGCTCCTGATGGAAACTTTGCCTTTAATTCCATAAATCAGAGATTTTGCTATGAAGATCCAGCATTTCCTCGCACCTCTCCTCATTTTGGCTCTGGAAGGAGCAATATTTTCAATATTTTATCTATTCCTTAGAAAGGAAATATCCAATTACAAAAAAAAAAAAAAAGGAGATAGAGTGAGATTCCTGAATATTTTGTTATGATCCAGTAAATCAAGGACAAATAAAATTGGGTAGAGGAAGTGTTATGTTATTGTTCCTTTCAGTTACTTCCCAAATTCTGCTTTTTAGAGAGAATTTGAAAAATGTGTTGAGAATCTCCAGATTTTCCAAGTGCTGCTGGAATCATTGATTTGTGCTCTGCTGAAATGCTAGATCCATCTCCTTTATTTTTAATTTCCACTCTTTCTTCCTGAGCAATGCAATTAATTGTGGAGGTTATTAACTTCATGTTGTAATGGGAACAAGCCCCAGTCCTTTTTGTCACTTACAGATTCTCCAGCAACACATCTCGGGCAGGGCTGGGAAATGCCTTTGCTCCCATGATTTTCCAAAATCTGAGGAACAAAACCAGACACAAATTCATCAAAAAAATGAAAAAAAAAAAGAAAAAAGAAATAAAAAAAAGAGGGTAATTCCTTGCAGCTTTATGATAAAATGATTTGAGAAGTGATTTTGCAGCAAACCCAGGGACAGCAGGGACTTACCACGGAATTCTGCTTCGTCTTTGCAGCCCAGGGAGCAGAGTCAGGGAGGAGTTTCTGCCTGGAGTCCTGGTCCATGGCACAGCCCACGAGCTGGGCACCAGCCTCGCCTGCAGCGGTGCCCAGCAGCCTGCACACCCGCTTCTGCAACAGCCAAAACAATACTGACATCTCTGTGCCAGCTTCTGGAACAGCCAAAACAACACTGACATCTCCATGTCCGCTTCTGCAACAGCCAAAACAATACTGACATCTCTGTGCCAGCTTCTGCAACAGCCAAAAACACACTGACATCTCTGTGCCAGCTTCTGGAACAGCCAAAACAACACTGACATCTCCGTTCCTGCTTCTGCAACAGCCAAAAGCACACTGACATCTCTGAGCCAGCTTCTGCAACAGCCAAAACAACACTGACATCTCTGAGCCAGCCTCTGCAACAGACAAAAGAACACTGACATCTCTGAGCCCGCTTCTGCAACAGCCAAAACAACACTGACATCTCTGAGCCAGCTTCTGCAACAGCCAAAAGCACACTGACATCTCTGAGCCAGCTTCTGCAACAGCCAAAAGAACACTGACATCTCTGAGCCAGCTTCTGCAACAGCCAAAAGAACACTGACATCTCTGAGCCAGCTTCTGCAACAGCCAAAACAACACTGACATCTCCGTTCCTGCTTCTGGAACAGCCAAAAGAACGCTGACATCTCCGAGCCAGCTTCTGGAACAGCCAAAACAACACTGACATCTCCGTGCCAGCGCAGCCCCACGGCCCGGGAATCTGCTGCCTGTAGCCATGATATTATGAAAAATCCTTTGCTGGGATTTTTCCTCTCCTGAGAAGCTGAGGAGCTTCAGGAGAGAAATGTAAACAATTACTATCTGCTGCTGTGGAATGCAACAGGAGCATCTTGCATTGCTCCATGTGGATTGTTTTCCATTGATGGCCAACCACAGCCACCTGTGCCAAGGCTGTGAGCAGTCACAGGATTTTGTTATTCTGTTCTGTTCTCTTCTTGTTGAGCCTTCTGATCTCTCTGTTCTTTTAGTATAGTTTTAATGTAGCATTTTAATATAATATTTAACATAATAAATCAGCCTTCTGAAATGGAGTCAAGCCTCGTGTCTCCACACACGGAGAGTTTGCCTCAACAGCGGCCCGTGCCTGCCAAGGATGCCACAGCCACTGGGAAAACACCGGGATGGCAATGGGCTGGAGAGCAGGAATTCTGTACCTCACACCTCTCTGTGCCCCTGGGAACAGGAATTCTGTACCTCACACCTCTCTGTGCCCCTAGGAACAGGAATTCTGTGTCTCACACCTCTCTGTGCCCCTAGGAACAGGAATTCTGTGTCTCACACCTCTCTGTGCCCCTAGGAACAGGAATTCTGTGTCTCACACCTCCCTGGGAGCAGGAATTCTGTACCTGGCAGGAATTCTGTGTCTCACACCTCCCTGTGCCCCAGTCCCACAAAATCCCTGGGAAAAGGCATCCCTGAGCCTCCACCTCAGCAGGACCTGGCATGGGGCTGATCCAAGGAATTGTGTGGAAGGAGTGATTAAATGCAGGAAACAAGGAAAAGCCTTGGATCCGTGCTCCCAGTGACGGGGACATCCTTGAGAGGGGTTCTGTGCCTTCCCTGAACACTGGCACCTGCTCCCAGTGCTGCTCCATCCACTCCCTGCTCCTGGAGCTGTGCCCCAAGCCCTGCCCAGCACCGAGGGCTGGCTGTCTGTCTGTCTGTCCTGGAGCCCAGGGCTGAGCTGAGTGACCCCTCACAGGACCAGGGGCTCCCAAAACTGCTGCTCTGAGCAGCACGCTGGGAACAGGGAGGTTCAGCTGCAAATCCATGGAAAACACCATGTGGAAACCTCCAGAAGAACATCCCTGGGAGCCCTGCCCAGCACCGAGGGCTGTCTGTCTGTCTGTCTGTCCTGGAGCCCAGGGCTGAGCTGAGTGACCCCTCACAGGACCAGGGGCTCCCAAAACTGCTGCTCTGAGCAGCACGCTGGGAACAGGGAGGTTCAGCTGCAAATCCATGGAAAACACCACTGGAAACCTCCAGAAGAACATCCCTGGGCTGAGAGTGCCCCTGCAAGGGGAGGGTGACCCACAGCCCAGGCAGGGCTCCTTGGAACTGCCCAGCAGATGGACACCAGCATGGGAATTCCAAAACTAACATGGATTTAGGGCCTGGATGCCAGAGAGACACTCGGGATGTTCCTTCCCAAACAAACTTTGTTTGAGGAATCCCAACATTCCATCTCTTTCTCCAGGAAGAAGGTGTGCTGGCACAGAACTAACAGGCTGCTGAAGCACACAAAGGGAATTTAAGGTTGGAATAAGTTGTGGAAAACCAAAAATGGATCAATGCACCAGGAACCTCGGCAGGAAAGAGCTGAGATGGGATCAGCAGGAAGGGAGGCAGGATATCAGGATGGGAAAGGAATCCAAGAGTGAAATATGTACTGCAGTGAGAAAGGGAATAATGGAATAAAAGTCTGGGGAGGTCCTCTAAATCCTTGAGATTGCCTCCCACTGGGAAAATATCCTCTGCCTCTGCTGCTGCAGAGCTCCTCCTTTATTGCAGGGAAAGGCAAAGTGCAGCAGCAAACGGGGAATGTGTGTCAGATGAGGGGGCAAAGGGAAAAATTACTCAACGCCACACTCCAGGAGGAATTTGGCTGATTAAAAATAAATGCCAGGTATTGTTTTGGGGGCTTTGCTCAGTGTCAGGAATTCAGCACGTGGAGGAGACAAACTCATCCCAATGCCAGCCTGGGGGAGACTCCAGCCTCTGGAATTGTCTCCTGGGGAAGAAGCAGCCACTGCAGAGCCCTCCCTGCCTGGGACAGGGACAGGGATCAGCAGCTCCCTGCCCCAAAGGCAAGCAGGGACTGTTTGCTTGTGCCAGGGAATGATCTGGGCAGGCAGCTGGGAAAGGAGCAGGACACCAGCAACGGGCAGGAACGACACATCTCCCTGCAGGGAAGTCACCCTCACTGTCCTGTCCAGCTGAAAGCCCTGGGAAATCCACTCGTTTTCACTCAGAGATGAAACCAACTCATGCCAAACCCAGCTCCACTGGACACCCAACCTGAAGGAGCTCTAGGAGAAGTTCTGGTCATTTGATGGGGTATTTTGGGTCCAATTTTAAAGATTTTCTCCAACTTTAATATGTCCTTGTTGTGCAATTTCTGCTTTTTTGACCCCATTTTTAAAGCCAGGCTGTCTCCAGTTTGGGGTTCCAGCAGGCCTGTCCCACAGGTCTCCACAGAGCCCAGCTCCCCCTGATCAGCCCCTCTGGATCCCTGAGGAATGATGGCCCTGGGGAGATGCTCCCTGCTTTTTGCCCTGTGGAAAGATGGCTCTGTCTGGGAAAGCACAGGGAATGTGAGATCCATGCAGATCCACCTGGGAAACTCTACCTGAAGATCAATCCAAACCAGGACACACTGGGAGCCTTGGAAATCTGACATTCCTCTAAGTCCAAATGCCTTAAAATCCAACCTTCCAACCCAAACCAGCCTGGGATTCAGATTCCTCTCTGTCATCTCGGAGCCAGGAGAGCAGCAATAGATGGAATTAGTGAGACTGCCTGGTAAAGAGGGTTTGAGCCAGAAAGAAAGAAAAAAATTAAGTAAGGAAAAAAGGAATAAAAAAAGGAAAAGAAAAAAATACCAGTAAAAAAAAAAAAAAAAAAGAAAAAAAAAAAAAAAAAAAAAAAAAAAAAAAAAAAAAAGGAAAAAAAAAAAAAAAAAAAACAAAACCAAACAAAGCAGGGGAAAATGAAGAAAAAAAAAAGAAGGAAAGAAAGGGAAAATAAGTGAAAAGGAAAAAGAAAAAAGGGAAAGAAAAAACAGAAAGAGTAATTAAAAAGGAATAAAGGAAAAGGAAGAAAGGGAAAAACGAGAAATTCAAAAGGAAGAAAAGGAAAAAGACAAAAAAAAAGAATAACAGGAAAAATAAAACGGGAAAGAGAAAATGCGGGAAAAGAAACGATGGAAAAACAGGAAAAAAGAAGGAAAAACCCCGAAGCCTGTTGAGCTCAGTGCCAGCCCGACCGTGCCGCTCCCGAGCCGGCACCACCCGCGACAGTCGCGACACGGCCCGGGCGGCACCGGCACCGGGACCGGGCCCTGCCCGAGCCTCTGCTCTTGCCCTGATCCCGGTGCCGCTCCCGTCCCCATTCCCGATTTCCCGTTCCTGTTCCCAGCCCCGTTCCCGACTCACGCATTCCGGCTCCCCGGCTGCCCCCGGCCCGAGCGCCCCGCGCCGGCCCCGCACCGGCCCCGCGGCCATGGCGGCACCGGCACCGCCCCGGGACCGCCCCGGGAACCGCCCCGGGACCGCCCTGGGAACCGCCCCGGGAACCGGGACCTGCCCCGGGCACCGCCCAGGGCACCGCCCCGGGCACCGCCCCGGGAACCGGCACCGCCCCGGGAACCGCCCCGGGACCGCCCCGGGAACCGGGACCTGCCCCGGGAACCGCCCCTGGAACCGGCACCGCCCCGGGAACCGGCACCGCCCCTGGAACCGCCCCGGGACCGCCCCGGGACCGCCCCGGGAACCGGGACCGCCCCGGGACCGCCCCTGGAACGGGCACCGCCCCGGGTGGGAAACTCAGAGTTTAAGGTTTTAGAATACAGTAATAGATATTGATGGAGGTTTTAGGGGGAAGGCTGGTCCTTCTTCTTCACCTTCTTCTTCATAAGTTTAGATAGCATTGTGTAATTGGATTGGAAAGCCCACACTGCAGATCACAGGTACTTGGTTATTAAGTTAAAAGTAAAAGTAATCGAGGTGTCATTTGTTAATTGGACAGTTTATCCTTAAAAGGCCTTGCAGAGAGAGATGGGGCTCCAGTTTTGGTTTGTTGGAGTGAAGTGCTGCAGAGCTCAGGGTTTGTGAGACTGTGCATGGATAAGAACTGATAAACATCTGAGTCCCAACAAGAAATACCCTCTCACACATTTAATCCCGACCTTGGCAGAAAAGAAACAAAGAATCCATTAGAAAGGCCACACAGGATTCTTTGGGAAACCTGCTGGAAAACTGCAGAGGGGTTTGGGAGCAGCTGGGAGCACCCAGCAGCCTCTTCCCTCGGGGGTTTTTTGCCCCAGTTTGGGCTCCATCCATCTCCTGGGGGTGCAGGTGAGCAGGGCTAATTAACCTGCCCCTTGCCAGGTTAATTTGTCCCCCTGCCTGCTCCGTCCCGAGTCCTTGAAGCTTCCCTGGGACGCCCCTGCCAAGGCTCCATATGGGATCCCAGAAATACAGCTGGATGGGAAGGAGATTTAGCTCTCCCCTGTCTCCGTGGGCCTATCCATTTGGAGCAGCACTCCTCGCCTTGTTCTTCCCAAGGAACCTGGAAAAGGTCTCGGGAAGCTCTCAAGGCTGAGGGTTTGATTTACGGGGCAGAGCTGGAGCTGACACCGGCCACGGAGGGAAGAGATTTATTTCCAGGGGTTCCATCTGTCCCACGCCTCCTTCCCAGAGCAGAGCCCTGGCACGGAGCCTCGGCCCCCATCCCATAATGCCTGCACCCAGACCCTTGGGATCCCCTCTGCTGAATTCCTGCACGGCCCAAATTCACCTCTGTGCGCTGGGAGCTCACCAGGAACGGGACTGGGACAGGGGAAAAGAGCACTAAGCCCAGGAGCGAATTCCGTGGAATTGTCCATGGAAGCCTGGCTGTGACACGGAGGGAATGTCCACAGCAAAACTCTGTTTGGTGGAGAACTCCAAGGGCAAAAGGGTTTCCCCTTGGAAAATAGCTTTGTGTGTGGAATTCCCTGCTTTAGCCTCACTCATGGCACGGTGTGGTGCCCGCTGCTCCCAGCCAGGTGTTTTCCCTGTTGTTCCATGCGGGATTTTATTTGTTATGAGCTGGAATCTGAAATAAAATTGGGTAATCCTGTTGATAACACAAGAATTCAGGGTTTAAACGAAATTATTTTCTTCAAAACAAATATTTTATGGGGGGAAAACACCCAAGTTTTTTCCTTGTTTTGTGAGAGAGGAACAGTAATTTTTAAAAGCTCTGAAAATCAGCAAACAGGATAAAATCCCAAACAGGATTTTCCTAAAGGCTGGAATTTGTGATTATTGCACTGGGTTTCTGTCAGGTTAAAATGTCAGAGAAAATAACAGAATTAGACTTTCTTTTCTCCACTCACAGTTTGTATCAACCAGAATGTATTTATGGGAAATGTGCAGTTTTATATCTTTTTCTTTGTTTTCTTTAAAAATATTTTAGCCTATAGGAAAAGACAATAAATGGAGATATTAATAGTTTATCTTGCATTAATTTTCTTTTTGAGACTTGAGATAAAACATTGTTGATTAATGTGTCAAAACTGTAAATGAAATGTACCCAGTGGAACTTCAGGCTGTTTCATGCCCATCTTTGTAACAGCAGAGTGCTTTGGATTAATTTCTGTCTCTTTCTGCATCAGGAGGGTTCTTGGACAGCCCAAAATAAACATTCACTGCTCTTACCCATGCTGGGGTCATCCTGCTTCCAGATTTACGGGCAGCAAGCTCCAGGGGAGAGACCCTCGTTTCACCTTGACAACACCCCAGGTTCTTTTCCACAGAAAATATCCTGGAAATGCAAAGGAAAATTGGAATTTGTCACCCTGGGCAGCAGCCTGGTATTGCAGAGGGTCAGCAGGGACCAGTGGGGTCCCCAGGGGCTGCCCTGTGACACTGGGGACACAGCAGGGCACACCTGGGCAGGTGACACCAGGCTGAGGGTGCAGTGACACCCCTGGAGGACGGGATGGCATCCAGGGGGACCTGGAGAGGGACTGGGGACAGGGATGGAGGGACAGGACACAGGGAATGGCTCCCACTGCCAGGGGCAGGGATGGGTGGGAGATTGGGAATTGGGAATTGTTCCTGGCAGGGTGGGGATGGAATTCCCAGAGCAGCTGTGGCTGCCCTGGATCCCTGGCAGTGTTATCCCAAATGGGTTTCATTCCCTGCCGTGGAAGAGCCCGGCCCCCATACAGTTATGGGATTTATTTCCAGCTCTGCACAAAAAGGGGACGGGGCTGATCCCCCAAAGCCAGCACACAATCACCAAAACTTGTCACTATTTACACATTTCACCAGAAAAAGGCACAAATGTTCACTGGCTGCACATCACACAGCTCCCTTATTAATTAATGCTCTGTCTCCTCGTTAAATATTCTGTGATTCTCTAATGATTTCCCCTCTGCTTTTGGGGTTTCTCAGCGTGCTGCTCCCCCTGGAACCCCCTTCTTTCCCAGTGGGAGCTGACCCAGCACAGCTGGCCAGTTGTTTTTATTGATTTCTTCCTTGGCTTGGGAATTCTGCCGAGTGCCTTTGGGGCTGGCAAATTCTGTATTCCCTGTGCCCTCTGTCAGTGGGGATCCTTCTGACGCCTCAGGTTTGGCTTTTCTATTTTTCACATTCTGAGCTGCTTCAGTGTGTGGGTCTGGGTTCACACCAGGGGATGGTGAGCTCTGCACAGAGCAGGGAGACAAAACAATTCCTGCTCCAGCTGGGCACCAAGGACAAATGATCCAAATCTCAGCCCAGGAGCACAAACCCCGTGGGCTGGAGAGAGAAAAACAAGCAGGATGGGAGTGCAGGGGCTGAGCTGGAATTGGACACTGAACTGCAATGTGCACATGGAGCAGAGCTGATCCCAGGGAGAGACCCCGGGAGCGCTCGTGCATTTTGGGACCATTTGGGTTCATCCTGGGTGCAGCCCTGGCTGGGCTCTTGTGCTGCCCGAGGTGGATCCACGGAGGAGAGCCTTTCAAGGGAGCCGCCCGGGGAGCTCGGGCAGCGCTGGGGCCGGGCTCAGCGTCCCTTCGTGCCGCGGGGCAGGCGGGGCGGCCCAGCACGGCCCTGGGGACAACCCCACACACCGCGCACGGCGGGGCGCCGCGCCGGGCCGGGCCGGGCCGGGCCGCGTGTGACGGGAGCGGGCCGGGCTGTGGGACTGGGACTGGTCCTGGTCCTGGTCCTGGTCCTGGTCCGGCTCCGGCTCCGGCTCCGGCTCCGGGTCTGGGTCTGGCTCCGGGTCCGGGTTCTGGCCTTTGGAACGGCACGGCCATCACGGGACACACGTGACACGGGGCACACGTGACGCGGGGAGGACACGTGACGCTGGGGCGACGCGCGAGGCGGGGAGGGCACGTGACGCGGGTGGGACGCGTGACACGGGCAGGCCACGTGAGGCAGGAGGAAGCGCGTGAGCAGGGCGGACGCACGTGACCCCGCGGGTGCCGCCACGTGACCGCCGGGCGACCCCCCACGTGTCCCTGGCTCGGCCCGGCCATGGCGGGCGCGGTGGCGGCCGCGGGCTCCGTGGAGCAGTTCCAGAAGCTGCTGCAGCGCCCGGACAGGTGAGGGGACAGCGGGGGAGGTCCCGCTCCTCTGTCCCTTACCGGGGTCCCGTCCCTCAGTCCCCTCCGTGGGGGCCAGCTCCGCCTGCCGTCCCTCGGTGCCATCCGTTGGTGCCTTAGCGGTGTCACCTCGGTGGGTGCCAGCCCGCGTTCCCCATCCCGGTGTCCTCTCTTTGGGTCCCGAGCCTCGGTGCCCTCCCGGTGTCCCCTCTTTGGGTCCCGTCCCTCGGTGCCATCCCGCTGTCCGCTCCCGGTCCCCGCAGGGCCCAGCTCGGGAGGGGCCGGTGCTGCCGCAGCGCTCCGTGAAACCTGCCAGGGGAAGAGAAAAAACCCCAACGTGGAGGCAAGCCGAGCCCCAAACTGCGCAAAGGCCGGGCTTTGGTCGGGCTTAGGCCGGGTCTAAGCTCGGCTTTGGCTCGGGCTTAGGCTCGGCTTAGGCCGGGTCTAAGCTCGGCTTTGGCTCGGGCTTAGGCTCGGCTTAGGCCGGGTCTAAGCTCGGCTTTGGTCGGGCTTAGGCTCGACTCAGCTTAGGCCGGGTTTAAGCTCGGCTTTGGTCGGGCTTAGGCTCGACTCAGCTTAGGCCGGGTTTAAGCTCGGCTTTGGCTCGGCCTTTGGCAGCCCCGCGTTCCCCTGGCTCAGCGCTCGGAGGTGCCGCCCTGTAGCAGCTCCTGCCGCAGGGAATTTGGGGCCAAATCCGGCGAATCGGCTGGAAAATCCCATAAACCTGAGCTGCCCTGCGAGCTGGGATGTCACCAAAACCACCAGGACATTTCAGTGGGAACAGCAGTGACACTGCAGTGGGAACAGCAGTGAAATTGCAGTGGGAACAGCAGTGAGGGAACAGCAGCGTTTGGGTGGTCACTGACACAGAAGTGGCTCTGAATTATTCCTCTCCTGCCCAGGTTCTCGTTAATCTGGTTTTGTGCTCTGTGATTAATGACAGGGCTGTGCTTTTCCTACAACCCCAGCCTGCTCTGGGACCTTGCAGCCCTTCCAGGGACACCATGCCCTGTCCCAGGGTGCTCCCAGCCTGTCCTGAGCAATCCCAGTGGTTTTATTCCAGTATTCCATGTGCGTGTTTAAATCTGGGAGGAGCTGCAGTAAGCTCCTCTGTAATTACAGATTTACAGTGATTAAAAGTGTGGTGGAATACCAGCATCAGTTCTGAGAGACAGCCAAAGGAAATGCTGTTAAATTGTGGTTCTGGGAAAAAGGAACAGAATTTCTTCCAAAATTCCACTTCCCCTCCTGGAATTGTCCTTCAGCTGGATTGTTTTGCAGGGACACTGCAGAACAAACTCTTGTGCCCAGAGGTGCTTCAGGAACAAACACAATATTTGAAGGTTATTTAAAAAAACCCACCAGTGATTTTCTCATTGCTTGTCACAGAACATCATTTGGTTTTCTCTCTAAAAGAATTGATTATTTTCTCCATGTTCTTGGACCCACAATGAGCTGATAATCCTCATAACTCTTCCTCTGCTTCCTTTGAAAACAGCGTTTATAATTACACGTTAATGTCATAGGATTTCTTGTTTCAGAAAATTAACATTTCTTGCATTGAGTTGTCAGTAAGTTTGTGTTGTAGAATTTTGTAAATTTTGATATTTAAAGAGGAAATTGGGGATTTGTCATAACCTTTTTATCCTTGCCCTGTTTAATAGTGGAGCATTTTTTTTAATCTTGGTTGAATGCAGGGAACACTTTGTTTAGAGTTACTTAATTGCTTCATTTTGCTAAGTCTTTATTTTTTATCTCTCTTAGTGTTTTCAAGTACTCTGGTTTTTTTTAAGGTCAAATCAAAGTGCTCAGGGAGCAGTTCACTTGCAAAATCTGAATTGTTCTGTGAATGAATTAAAAAAAAAAAACAAAAAACCAAAACAACTCCAAAACCCCTAGTGCAGATGAATTTAAAATATGTTCTTCCTGAAGATAAAAATGAATATATTGCAGCTGGGTGTTGGTAAGGAAGGAGCAGGCTCTGGTGGGATGAGGCTGAAATAATCCTGTGATGATTTGAGGCCCATCCCTGTGGCCAGGTGTGTCCTGCTGTGGGCACAGACTGAAACTGAGGACTTGGAGGAAAACAGAAAAGTTGTTCTGTTGTTTTTCTAGAGTTTCACTGGAAAATCAAGTGTGTGAAAGCATCCAGGGTGTGTGATCAGGTCACAGGAGCTGCTCCAGCAGGGATCTTGTGCTGCCCATGCAGCTGCTACAATTTACAATGAATTTCCATTATTTAGGGATAAAAAACACGAAGTACCTGCTGTGGGATGGATGTCTTGATTTCTCTATTTTTCTAAGTAAATTAATATCAGTACATTGTGTATTTAATTCCTTATTCCCATTCTCTGGTGGTTTGACCTTGCAAAGATGGAGAATGGAACTGAAAATTCCAATATCTTGTCACTGCTGTCATCCCAGATGTGTAAGCCCATGGAAGCTGGTGCCCAGTGTGATGGGATTTCTGCTCACACCTTTAAATGTTGTGTAGAACCAATCCCAAACATCCCAGCAAACCTGGAATAAGAAGTTGGAGCAAATGAAAGCAGAAAAATAACATTGCAGTGTGACAGGTTTTGTACTGCATGGCCTCAGCACTGCTGCTGGGCTCGGAATGTTCCCTGGAAAGGAAAACTCCTGGTATGCTTTAAAGGTTTTTTTAATCTCAGGTGATGCCTCAGGTTTAGTTTTTCTATTTTCACATTCTGTGCTGCTTCAGTGTGTGGGTCTGGGTTCACATCAGGGGATGGTGAGCTCTGCACAGAGCAGGGAGACAAAACAATTCCTGCTCCAGCTGGGCACCAAGGACAAATGATCCAAATCTCAGCCCAGGAGCACAAACCCCGTGGGCTGGAGAGAGAAAAACAAGCAGGATGGGAGTGCAGGGGCTGAGCTGGAATTGGACACTGAACTGCAATGTGCACATGGAGCAGAGCTGATCCCAGGGAGAGACCCCGTGAGCGCTCGTGCATTTTGGGACCATTTGGGTTCATCCTGGGTGCAGCCCTGGCTGGGCTCTTGTGCTGCCCGAGGTGCATCCATGGAGGAGATCCTTGGAATCAATCCCTGCTTTATTCTGGAACTCTGCCCTGCCTCTGCTCTGGGTCAGCCTGCACAAGGCATCACAGGCAGGTGATGGGGATTTAAGGGTTTTTATGGAGTGCCCATCCCTGGAGTGTCCAAGGAATTGCTGGAGCTGGCACTCAGGGCTCTGGGGACAAGGTGGGGTCAGGCCCCTGGATGGTGTTTCCCAGGCTCAGGGGTTCCATGACGCTGGTGTTTGTTGGCAGCTGTCCCCAGGAGTGCTGTCTGTCCCCAGGTCCCTGGTGGTGGTGCACTTCTGGGCGCCGTGGGCTCCGCAGTGCGCGCAGATGAACGAGGTGATGGCAGCGCTGGCCCGCGAGCACAGCCAGGTCACCTTCGTGCAGGTGAGCCGGGGAGCCCTGGGGGAAGGAAATGTCCCACGGCAGGGAGCTTCCTCTGGGGTGCCTGCATGGCCTCACATGCAATGCCTCTCTCACTTCTGGTATCCTGGAGGTGCTGCTGCCGTCAGGGATGGCTCAGGGAATCCTGGAATGCCTTGGGTGGGAAGGAAGCTCAAAACCCACCCAGTGTTATCCCAGAGGTGCTGCTGCCATCAGGGGTGGGGTCAGACAAGGAATCCTGGAATGCCTTGGGTGGGAAGGGATCTCAAAGCCCACCCAGTGTTATCCCAGAGGTGCTGCTGCTGTCAGGGATGACAGACAGGGAATCCTGGAATGCCTTGGGTGGGAAGGGATCTCAAAGCCCACCCAGTGTTATCCCAGAGGTGCTGCTGCTGTCAGGGATGGCTCAGACAGGGAATCCTGAAATGATTTGGGTGGGAAGGGATCTCAAAACCCATCCAGTGTTATCCCAGAGGTGCTGCTGCCATCAGGGATGGCTCAGGGAATCCTGGAATGCCTTGGGTGGGAAGGAAGCTCAAAGCCCACCCAGTGCCACCCCTGCCATGGGAGGGACACCTCCCACTGTCCCAGGGTGTCCAGCCGTGGGGATGTTATCTCAGGATTCCCAGGGGGCTCCTGTGGCACTAAAATGACCCTTCAGGAAGGTGAATTCAGGCCCTGCAAGGTTGTCACTCTGCTTTGTGAGACCCTCTGCACATCCCACTGGGAGCCAGGGGAAGGAAGAAGGAATTCACTTCATCCACGTGCTGTTGGTTTTAAATCAAATTTCTCTGGTTAATGAGACACTTGTGGGATGATGAGGGCAGGGAGCAGTGGAGCAGCCAGCTGTGTGTGAGTATTTTAATGTGATTTTTACAGCCTTTAGGATGTGTGTGTGGGCTTTTTTAAATGATTCCTCTCAGCTGGTATTTGTAAAACAGGACAGAATTATTTTAATGGTATTTTATGACTTAGAGCTTCAAAAGACTAATTTTCAACATACTGCAAATTCAAGATGCTTAAATTTATCTAGAGTTTAGTAGCTTTTACTCAGCCCAAGAAAGTCTGGAATCTCTCAGTTGCCTTTTCATTATTCCTATATAATTTATTTATGACCTTTATTATTCAGCTGTAATTTATTTTTTAATAATGAGGTTCCAAAGTTATCCAGGGCTGTGAAACCCTGATAGTGGCACATCCTTCCCCCAACTTCCCTCTTCCCAGTAATGTTAATATTACTGCTGTTCTTGCTTAGAGAAAATAAGCTGATGACAATTCTTGGGTGAATTTTACTGATACATTTTGGAGGGAGGACCTCCTCCAGAGGAATATATTTGATTTTGGCAGTTCTTGGTGGGATTTTTGTATTGCAGAATATCCAGCCTGCCTTTGAATTGGCAAGCACCTGTTACCTCCTCGCATGTTTGGTTGACATGAATGTGTTCACATCCCAAAACACTCACAAACAACATTTTGGGAAGCTGTGCCAATGACAGCAGGTTCCTGAAATATGAAATGGATTCTCTTCTGTGTTATGTGCAACATAAATATCCAAGCAGGAAGCTTTGCTGGGAAAGAAAATGAGTGTTAGATGTGGAAGTCATCATTTGCCCCTGGAAAAAGAATCAATAATTGGAGTTACCTATTCTCCTTCAATTATGTATAGGCTTTCAGTTCAGTTTCAGTTGGATGTAAGCTTTCATTTTCTAGCTGTAGTTTTCCAGTTGATCCTGTTGGAGTGATGATGTGCAGGAGGAGGCTGGGGCTCGCTTTTGCTGCTCCTGCTTTGCCTCTCTGATTAGTGGGTTCATTAAGAGCCTGTGTAGCTGGAGCTGCTCAGAATCTGAGCCAGCGAAGATAAATTTTCATAGCAAATCCCTCTGTGATGAAAGTGGGAGCAGTAATCCCTGGCTGGGCACTCAGCAGCCTTGCAGGAGTTAAAAATCAAGTTTAGCACCATCAGCTGAAGGAGCAGCTCCTTTCCCCTCCTCATTTGCAGGGGGCTGCGGATGTCAGGGGTGATGCAGAGCCCCCCAAAGGGGCACAGCAGCACCTCTGTGGTGGGGACAGAACTGGGGACAGTGATTTATGGGTTCCAATATAGCAGGAGCTGCACAGCACTGAGAATTTACTAGGTCAGGAGTGCACCCAGAATTTTATTCACAGCCTCCGGGCGTCTTTGGAAACGTGCAACAAAATAAAAACCTCTGAACCTGCTTTGACACCGTGGAGGTTCACGGTGCCACGGCAGCCCACAGAGTCTCATTTAAATGTAAATGTCTCCCAGACTTCAGCAGCAGATCCTGCTTAAATGTATAAAATGCCAGGGAGAACATTCCAGGATTGACACTTGCGGTGAAACTTTAAAGAAGATTATGAAAATAATCCAGTGGGTTTTTTTTGTTTTGTTTGGTTTTTAGCTGGAAGCTGAGGCTGTGCCTGAAGTGTCTGAAAAATATGGAATTAGTTCTGTTCCAACGTTCTTGTTCTTTAAGGTAAGAGGAAATGGATTTAAGAGGAAATGAATTTAAGAAAAGTGGATTTAAGAGAAAATAGAATCCATATGGACTCTTAATACTTATACTTTTGTAATACTCTACCAGAACCTTAGGAGCATTCTCAGTGAGGAAACACATCTGTAACTGATTGAAGTCTGTCCAGTGGAACCTAAAAATGGAAATAGAAGTGTTTTTTTCACTTTATATGGAATAGTTCAGGGCTTCCTTAAGTGCTTCTGGATTCATACGTAGTTTTTATTTCACTTGTACTTGGGTCAAAAAATTTACAGCAACATTTCTTTGTAGTTGGGGACAAAACCTAAGAAATCATGATAATAACAGAAATAACAGTTCTGTTTGGGTGCTATTTGCCTGTGATGATAAAATGGATACTATTTTCTTAAATAAGTATTTCTGGAGGCAAACTTGGTGCTGTTACTGATGCCTTGGCTGCCTAGAACAGGGGCTAGACAAGGTTAAGAGGATAAAGTGGGTATTTATTAAGGCCTTCAGCAGTCAGAGCCTCCCAGGGGCTACAGCCAAGATGGACATGGTCACGGGTTTTTCAGGCAGATACGAGTTTGGTCTATTTACATATCAGGGTTAATCCTCCAGTTCAGCTCCAGATGATGAAGTTATTTACCCCATTTGCTCCTCCCCAATTCACTTCTGTTTGTACTTTCCAGGGCCTGAGGCTGTAGGGTGTCCTTGAGTTTCAGGCCTGGAGGAATTGTTTAGTCTGACCAAAACGTGAGGACTATAGCTAACACTGTGTGGAGTTCAGAGTTAGGCACTAGTGCAGCACAGGATCTGAAAAACAGAAAGGCTAAAATCCCTCAGGCATCATTACTGCCAGAAAGGCACGAGCCTGGCAGTACAGCCCCTCCCTGCAAAGCCAGGCTTGGCTGGCTGTGTGTGCTGTGCTTTAGGCCCAGCCTGGACTGAAGGCTGTGTGTGCTTTGCTTTAGTCCAGCCTGGACTGAAGGCTGTGGTTTCAGCCCAGTCTGGACTGAAGGCTGGCTTTGCTGTGGTTTAAGCCACCCTGCACTGTGTGCTGTGTTTATCCCACCTGCACTGAAGGCCGTATTGGCTGTGTGTGTCCCCTTTCCTGAAGCTGTGTGTATCCCCCTTCCCTGAAGGCTATATTTGCTGTGTTTTCCCCCCCCCCTGCTCTGAAGGCTGTATTTACTGTGTGTATCCTCTCCCTGAAGCTATGTGTATCCCCCTTTCCTGAAAGCTGTGTGCTGTGTGTATCCCCCCTTCCCTGAAGGCTATATTTACTGTGTTTTCCCCCTTTCCTGAAGTCTGTCTTTACTGTGTCTATTTCCCCCTTTCCTGAAGGCTGTATTTACTGTGTTTACCCCCCCCTTCCCTGAAGGCTGTATTTGCTGTGTTTATCCCCTTCCCTGAAGGCTGTGTGTGGTGTGTTTGTCCCCCTTTCCTGAAGGCAGTGTATGGTGTGTTTACCCCGTCCCTGAAGGCTGGCGCGGCCCTGCTGAGATCCGCGGCGTTCCATCCTAGGCTTCAGCAGGCAGATGGTGGAGATCCTGCAGAAGCACGGCGTGGCCTTCAGCAGCTTCGACATCTTCTCCGACGAGGAGGTTCGCCAGGGGCTCAAAGCCTTCTCCAACTGGCCGACCTACCCGCAGCTCTACGTGGCCGGGGAGCTCATCGGGGGCCTGGACATCGTCAAGGTGGTTTTGTCTCCTCTTTGTCTCCACTTTTTTTTTTTTGTCTCCTCTTTGGCTTGACACAAGTGTCTGTGTCTTGCTTTTTCCACCTCATTTTTTGCCTCTTTCCCCCAATTTCCACAGGAGCTCGAGGCGTCGGGAGAGCTGGACACGATCTGCCCAAAGGGCCAGAAGCTGGAGGACAGGTGGGGCAATTATAACAAATTTTGAGGTTTTTTTTCTGTGTTCATCCAGGGGAAACCCTTTAACAATTCCTACTTTATCAGAAGTGCCTCAAGAATCAATTTACTTGCAGAATTCTGGTAGTTTTTCAGTGTCTTTTGGGGTTTATACATGTAAGTCCATGAATCTTTACTTACATTTGTGGTTTAATTTCTGCTTGTTGCAAGAATGTATCTGTTTATATATTTATATAGCTATATCTATCTATTTATATATCTATATATATCTATTTATGCATTTATGTATCTATAGCTATTTATATATTGATATGTATCTATATATTTATAAATATGCCTTTCTAAATATCTATATTTATAAATGTCTGTATTTCTGTATTTCTATTTATACATTATGTATATCTACTTATGTATTTATATATCTATATCTATCTACTTATATATTTATAGATCTGTATCTGTAGGTGGATATATAGATATATATTCCTTCTTGTCTCTATTTAGCAATTTAGTCTTTAAAAATAACTGGGAGAATCATATTTTTAAGCTTTTTCCACCTTTATTTGCACAGACTTCCCAGCTCTGGTGTCACTGGAGGGAGTCCCTGCCTGGTTCTTCTCCCTGCTCAGTGCAGTACAGAAATTATTGAATAAATCCCATGTAAAAGTGGTGCTAAATAATAATCCCACCGTTGTAAATTCTAGGGATTTATTCATTCCTTCCAAATTTGTCCCAAGGTTTGGGTTACTTTACTTTGAAATTGTTTCACTGAGGCCACACACCCTAATTAATGCTTTTAGCAGAGATTCAGTTGGAGATTAAGATGAGATGGGCACATCTTTAAAAACTTTTATTTGGTGGCCTTTAAAAACTTATTTTTTAAAGCCTTTTAGCCCCTCTCTGTGCTTTTTAAGGAGTTTGTTAAGAAATGAAACATTTTTTGGCCATTCTTGATGAAAGTTTGCAGATTGCACAAGCAGTAACTCCATTTACACGAGAATTTTTTTGCTTGGCACAAACTTTTGAGGGAAGGAAGGGATTGGGAAACGTCCTCTGCCTCCCAAAGGGTTTTAAGGTTCCCTTCAAGTTTTGGGTTTTTTAGGTTAAAATTGTCCATGAGATGTGTTTTTAAGGAGCAGCAGCACCTCTGGGGAAGTTTGAGTGACATTTTTGACCAGCCTGCTCCACGGGAGAGGGGTTCCTGCTGGGAGTGGCATTCCCATCCCAGGGTGGAATTCTTGGAGATTTATCCACTGGAGTTTTCATTCCCACTTCTGCATTTTGTCTGGGGTATTGGGGTATAAAATAACCATAAAATAAGGTATTTTGTGTCTTGTTCTAGGCTTAAATCCTTGATAAACAAAGCTCCTGTGATGCTCTTCATGAAGGGAAACAAAGAGGTAACGTGGAGTGTTCCAGAAAATACTGAATTTTTATCTTGTTCTTCCTTGATTCCAATCAGTGCAGCTGGAAAAGTTATTTATCTTTTTATTTGGTGCATCTGTAAACCATAGAACAGCCCTGGTTTTTATTATTGCTGAATATTATTTGTTAGATAGTTCTATTAATATTTATTAATACAGAAATTAATAGAAATATCTAATGCTTAGGTATTATAATAGATATATCTAATATCTTAGATATCTTATATAATAGATGTCTGTAATACCTATTCACATCTAAAAATTGCTGGGTGAAGAGTTTGCAGTGGATATGAATTATTAATTCATTAGAATTCAAATTATAATTAATTTCATTATAGTTAAATTAATTATAATGAAGTTAATTATAATGATAATAAATATAACAAGTTGCTGTCCTTGTTTATTATAGTTTATTGTGGTGAATCCAGGGCAGTGATGCCTGAAAATGCAGCAGATTTATTCCATAAATCCATAAAAATCAGGAGATAAAGGATGGAAAAGGGATTAAGGAGAGGCTCATCCAGCAAAAAACTGGGAATTGCTGCAGTGCAGCTGGAATTGCAAGGGTTAACAAAAGCAGAGACATTTCATATCTGTATTTTATATTTTAGATGGCAAAATGTGGCTTCAGCAAGCAAATCATAGAAATCATGAATAACACTGGGTAGGTAATGGGGCTGAGTTTGGGGGGCAGTTCTGGGGTGAAAACTGCATTTTATGGAAAAGGTGTTGGAAAACGTGAGTGGAATTGTTCCCCAAGTGGAAGGGTTTATTTTTCAAGAGGATTTCAAGCCGTTGAAGGGTTTGCTGAGAATTTTCATGAGGTTTTTTTGAGAATTTTGAGGGTTCTTTCAAGACTTGTAAGGGGTTTTTTTGGGAATTTTGAGGGGGTCTTGAGAATTTTGAGGGATTCTGTTAGAATTTAGAGGAGTTTTTGAGGGCTCTTTGGAAGTTTTGGAGTCTCTTTTGTGAGAATTCTGAGGGTTTTTTGAAGATTTTGAGTATTTTTTCAAGATTTTAGAGTCTGTGAGAATTTTGAAGGGATTTATGGGGAATTGTGAGGACTTTTTGTAAGAATTTTGAGGGGCTTTAAAAATTTTTAGAGTTTTTTAAAAATCTGGATGTTCTGAGATTTTGAGGGTTTTTTGAGACATCTGAGGGGTTTTTTGAGACCTTTGTGGGCTTTTTTTGAGACTCTTGGGTTTTTTTTTTTTTGAGTATTTTGAGAGTTTTTAAAAACTCTTGAGGTTTTAGAACTTGAGGGTTTTTTTTTCGAGAATTCTGAGGGTTTTTTTGATAATTTTGAGGATTTTTTCAGAACTTTGAGGGTTTTTTCCAGCATTTTATGAGTTTTTAAAAAATCTAGAGGTTTTAGAGTTTTAAGTTATTTTGGGGTTTTTTTTTTTAATTTTGAGGGGTTTTTGAGAACATTTTTGATAATTTTGAGGGATTCTGTTAGAATTTAGAGGAGTTTTTGAGGGCTCTTTGGAAGTTTTGGAGTCTCTTTTGTGAGAATTTTGAGGGGTTTTTTTAAGTTATTTTGGGGTTTTTTTTTTTAATTTTGAGGGGTTTTTGAGAACATTTTGATAATTTTGAGGGTTTTTTGAGACCTTTGTGGGCTTTTTTTGAGACTTTTGGGGTTTTTTTTTTTAATTTTGAGGGGTTTTTGAGAACATTTTTGATAATTTTGAGGGTTTTTTTGAGGTTTTATTCCCAACATTTTATGGGTTTTTAAAAATCTAGAGGCTTTAGAGCTTTGAGGTTTGTTTTTTTTTTTTAATTTTGGGGTTTTTTTTGAGAACATTGAGGAGTTTTTTGAGGATTTTTTGAGAACATTAAGGAGTTTTTAATAATTTTGAGGATTTTTTTGAAAACTTGGAGCATTTTTTTCCAACATTTTACAAGTTTTTAAAATATCTTGACATTCTGGAAATTCCGGTGCTAATTTTTGAATTTTTTAGCTGAATTTTGCATTTTTAAGCTGAATTTTGCATTCTTTAGCTGAATTTTACATTCTTTAGCTGAATTTTACATTTTTTTAGCCAAATTTTACATTCTTAGCAGAATTTTGCATTCTTTAGCAGAATTTTGCATTCTTTAGCTGAATTTTGCATTCCTTAGCCGAATTTTACATTCTTTAGCTGAATCTTGCATTCTTTAGCCGAATTTTACATTTTTTTAGCCAAATTTTACATGTTTTTAGCTGAATTTTGCATTCCTTAGCTGAATTTTACATTCTTTAGCCGAATCTTGCATTCCTTAGCCGAATTTTGCGGCGCTCCTTTAGGAGCACCGCAGGGCTCTGTTGCCCTGTGGGCGTTCCTCCCCATTTCCAGCGGGAATAACGCGAACATCCCGTTCTTTCCCTGTGCCCAGCGTGGACTACGAGACCTTTGACATCCTGGAGGACGAGGAGGTAAGGGAGCCCAGCCCTGGGGGTCCGAGCCCTGCTGCTGCCCGGGGCCGGCGTTCCCAGCCCATTCCCTGTGTCCCCAGGTGCGCCAGGGGCTGAAATCCTTCTCCAACTGGCCCACGTACCCCCAGCTGTACGTCAGGGGGGAGCTGGTGGGGGGGCTGGACATCGTCAAGGTAGGAGCTGCTTTCCTCCCAATAAAAACTCCTTTTGTTGCAGCTAAAAGTTCCATTTCTAGGGAATTTTTCTGCCTGTCCCCCAGAGAATCCCTGCAGCCACCCCAGGGTTCTTTCCCAGGGAAAGGAGCTTTGAGTCTCCAGTGAATGACTGGAAAAAGCCCGTTTTTAACCCTTTTTTTTTGGCATTTTTCTCATCCTTAATTTTGCTCCTGATGTTGTTTTCTGGGAAAAAGGGATTTTCTTGGAGTTGTTGGAGCAGCCCCAGAGTTCCCAAATCCTCCTGAGCCCATTCCTGGATGGTTCAGAGCCAATTCCTCAGACTCTGGGGGTGCTCAGTCCATAAATCCCATTTCATTCTAAAATTACTGGGACTACTGAAATGATAGAGATTTGTTTGATTTCTTTAAGAAGTGTGAGGATTGCTTCAATTACATAGCTTAATTTTATTTCCAAGGATTAATTTTACTTCAATTACATAGATTAATTTTATTTCCAAGGATTAATTTTACTTCAATTACATAGATTAATTTTATTTCTATAGATTAATTTTACTTCAATTACATAGATTAATTTTATTTCCAAGGATTAATTTTACTTCAATTACATAGATTAATTTTATTTCCAAGGATTAATTTTACTTCAATTACATAGATTAATTTTATTTCTATAGATTAATGTTACTTAATGTATATGGATTAATTTTATTTCCAAAGATTCATTTTACTTCAATAAGGGGATTTTCTTGGAGTTGTTGGAGCAGCCCCAGAGTTCCCAAATCCTCCCGAGCCCATTCCTGGATGGTTCAGAGCCAATTCCTCAGACTCTGGGACTCCTGGGGGTGCTCAGTCCATAAATCCCATTTCATTCTAAAATTACTGGGACTACTGAAATGATAGAGATTTGTTTGATTTCTTTAAGAAGTGTGAGGATTGCTTCAATTACATAGCTTAATTTTATTTCCAAGGATTAATTTTACTTCAATTACGTAGATTAATTTTATTTCCAAGGATTAATTTTACTTCAATTACATAGATTAATTTTATTTCTATAGATTAATGTTACTTAATGTATATGGATTAATTTTATTTCCAAAGATTCATTTTACTTCAATTGTGTAGCTTTATTTTATTTATATAAATTAACTTCAATTATATAGATTAATTTTACTTAGGGTATATACATTTTTATTTATTTAACAAGAGTAGGGATTGCTTCAATTATTATATAAATTTATTATTGAAATTATTATATGAAATTATTATATAAATAATAATTTTATTTATAGATACTATTTTTACACAAATTCTGTAGATAAATTTTATTTATCTAGATTAACTTGACTTAAATTATATGGATAATCCTATTTCTATAGATTAATTTTACCCAAAGTATATCATTAATTCTGTTTATTTAACAAGTGTAGGGATTGCTTCAGTTGTATAGATTAGTTTTACTTATATAGGTTAACTTAGTGTATAGATTAATTTTATTTGTTTCTTTAGCAAGTGTGGGGATTAAATCAATAAAATTAATTAGATAATTGAAGAAGTGTGGGGGCTTTTTCAGTGCTCAGGAAGAGGAGTCTTGGGCATTGTGAGATGCTGTAAAATCCTTTTTTTCTGGTATTTCAATGTAATTTCTCTCTTTGCATCCTTGGGCTGTTTGAACTCATGATCTGCATGGGTGGGTGAATGTTGTCAGCGGTTTAAATTTCATTTTTTAGTGCAGCATGGTATGGAATTCCTGAAATGGAGCTGTTGATTCCAAGGTGTGGGAGAAGAAGATTCCACGTTGTTCCCCAAGCGTGTCCTGGTGCTCTTGGGCAGTTGCCAGCCCTGAAATGTGAATTTCTGTCCCCAGGAGGAGCAGGGCAGGCCCCTCCTGCTCAGAATCCCGAGGATATTTCAGCTTCTTCTGGGGGTTTGTGGGTGGGAAAACAAAACCCATCCGTGGGTGGCCATTCCTCCTTTGGGCTGTTGGAAAGCCTGGAATGTCTGGGATTCCACCTGGGAGGAGTTCAGGGACCCCAGGCAGAGCCTCCAAGCTGTGATTTTTTATCTCTTTCACTAAATCCACCCAAACCAGAGTTTAAATCCTTGATGAACCTCAGAGCTGCCATCCATCACTGCTGCCTTTCTCTTCCAGGAGCTGAAGGAAACTGGGGAGCTGCTGCCTGTGCTGAAGGGGGAGAACTGATGGGGAGGACATCAGTGGGAAGAGAAATCCCTGGAACAGCCTGGAACAGTCAGAGATTCTCCTGGAGCCCTGAGGAGCATCAGCAGGGGAAGCAGACAGGAAATAAATACAAATATTCTCTGTTTGAAAAGGGGTTTCACTGGGGGCACAAAAAGGTCAATTAAAATTCAGTGCTCCGGGATTTGTGCTGTGGGGGTTTCATTATTTGCACCCTTGTCCATCCCAGAATTATTTGAGGTGAAATTGGAACTTGCATTTTTTGGGCTCAGCTCTCATTAGGGGAATATTAATGGAGCATCATCTTTTGCTGCCCCCATTAATTGTTTCCATGTGTAATGAACAAGGAAAACACCTTGGGAGGCTTCAGCCAGCCCAGCTTTAGGGAGTTTTAATGAGCTGCAGCTCTGTCCTCTGCAAACTCGTTAAGTGGGCGCACTAATTGCTAATTTGGGGTGCTCAGTCACAAACGTGGGGTTTTGGGAGCGTTCCAGTGGTTTTGGAAGTGCTGGTGAATCCTCAGGGATCCTTCAGGGCTGTGCAGAGGTTTCCTGGGCTGCTCCAGGGGTCCCTCACTGCTGCATCCAGGGATTTCATGTGGGCTCAGTCCTTGTCCCAGCACAGTCTGGGTGAGGTGCAAGTCCCCAAATCCTGGCAGGAATCTCCTTGCTGGGGAGCAACTCTGGGGCTTTTTTCCCTAAATCCTAAATATGATCCAAGTCTCAGAACCTGAACCAAATCTGGTGTTAAGCTTATCCCAGCCTGGGGCTGCAGGGAAGCAGGTCCTTCCATGTGTTAGAGGATTCCCAGGGATGGATATTTAATTTTCCTGGATTAGTTTTAGTAATTGCTATCAAATATGTGTTATAACTTTAAACCCGATTTTAATTGCTTTAAAAAAATCCTTGTCATGAAAACAAGCCTTAATTAATCCTCTTAAGTGAATTGCAAATGTGTGCAGGTAGTTGTCAGTAGGAAGAAAATAATTTATTACAGCAAAAACTCAGCACCCCTGTGGTGAAATAAGGAGTTAGAAGCTTTAATTAAATACTAAATACCAAATGCTATTTCCTTTTCCTTCAGAATGCAGTGCAGTGGAATTTATTTGGGGCTTATGGAGTCCTGTTAATGGATTTACAGACGTGCAACAGAGCAGCAGGAAATAGCAGTTGATTCCTGACAATTTGTATTTGTGTTTATTTGACAATTTGTATTTGTGTTTATTCCAGTATGGGATACTGGGAAGGAATTGTTCCCTGGCCCAGGGTGCCCAGAGCAGCTGTGGGTGCAGCTGGATTCTCCTTGTTTGTATTTCCCTCCTTATTTTGCAGTATTTCCCTTGTTTGTCCCAGCATTTCAGCTGGGTTATTTCTCCCTGCCATTTAATATTGGGATATTAGGGAAAAAAAAAAAAAAAAAGCTATTCCTGAGGATGGTGAAGAGAGGAACAGCCAGTGATTAAACCCTCTATGCTGCTAAATATATTAAATAACTTTACCTGGCAGATAATTGTCACCTCTGTCACCTCCTCGGTGCTGGGATAAGAAATTCCTTCCAAGCTCCATGAAATATTCCAGGTTTGGAAGGGAAGTGTCACCTGGCTGAGATCAGGCATGCAATCAATACCTGGGATTTAAATTAAAAATTAACCTGGCTGCATGTGAGCATTGAGTGAGGGCTTCTGCTGGGCCGAGGGGAATCTGGGTTAGTTCATGATTTTAATTAGGGGGGTATTTCATGGGGAAATTTGGGTTAGTTCATGATTTTAACTAGGGGGGTATTTCATGGGGAAATTGGGGCTAGTTAACGATTTTAATTAGGGGGGCATTTCCTGGGGAGTAATTGGGATTTCATTTTATGGGGCTGAGACCAAAGAGGAGCAAACAGGGATTCTATTTGTTTTTCCTTTGAGGTGTAGTCCAGGGATGAGGTGAGATTTGGGGGATTTGAAGGACAGTCAGGGGACATGGGGTTAAAGGAGCTGTTTTGGGTTAAAAGAGCAGGTTTGGGGTTAAAGGAGTAGTTTTGGGGTTAAAGGAGCTGGTTTTGGGTTAAAGAAGCTGGTTTGGGTTAAAGAAGCATGGGGCTGAGACAAAAGGGGAGGAGCTGTTTCGGGTTAAAAGAGCAGGTTTGGGGTTAAAGGAGCTGGTTTTGGGATTAAAGGAGCTGTTTTGGGGTTAGAGGAGCTGGTTTGGGTTAAAAGAGCAGGTTTGGGGTTAAAGGAGCTGGTTTGGGGTTAAAGAAGCTGTGTTGGGGTTAGAGGAGCTGGGTTTTGGGTTAAAGGAGCTGGTTTGGGGTTAGATGAGCTTTGTTGGAGTTAAAGGAGCTGGGTTTGGGTTAAAGGAGCTGGTTTGGGGTTAAAGGAGCTGGGTTTGGGTTAAAGGAGCTGGGTTTGGGTTAAAGGAGCTGGGTTTGGGTTAAAGGAGCTGGGTTTTGGGTTAAAGGAGCTGGGTTTTGGGTTAAAGAAGCTGGGTTTGGGTTAAAGAAGCTGGGTTTGGGTTAAATGAGCTGGGTTTGGCCCACGCTGTGACTGCCCTCGCCCCAGGGTGGCACAGGCTGTGCCTGGTGTCCCTCGGGGCAGGTCCCTGTCCCCATTCCCTGCTGTCTGTGTTGGGGAGCACAATCCCTCCCGAGCCGGGAAACTCCTGCACGCGAGCTCAAAAATTCAGGAGCGGAGGGAGCGGGATGTCAGCACAGCCCGGAGCTCCTTTGTGGGAAACCTCCACGGCCCGGGTCCCCAAATCCTTCTGCCAGCCCGTCGCTCCCGTCGTGGTCCCCAAATCCTTCTGCCGTCCTGTCACTCCCGTCGGGGTCCCCAAATCCTTCTGCCGTCCTGTCACTCCCGTCGGGGTCCCCAAATCCTTCTGCCAGCCCGTCACTCCCGTCGGGGTCCCCAAATCCTTCTGCCAGCCCGTCGCTCCCGTTGTGCCCCCGCGGGCTGGGGTGAGGGGCTCCTCCGTGCCAGGCAGGACCCTCGGGGGAGCTCCGGGCGGGCACAGGCAGGGACGGGGGACTGCGGGAAAACCATTCCCGGGGATTTTCCTGCCGGCGGCAGCACCGGGCACGGCCACGGGGCGGTGCTGGGCACTGCGAGCGCGGGGAGCGGGAGAGAGCGGGGGAGAGGGAGAGCGGGATAACGGGATAGACAGCGGGATAGAGGGATAATGGGATAGCGGGATAACGGGATAGACAGCGGGATAGAGGGATAATGGGATAGCGGGATAACCCCATCCATCCCTGCCTCTGGCACTGGGAGCCATTCCCTGTGTCTGTCCCTCCCTTTTCCAAAGCCAGAATGGAAAATCTGAAATCTGGCCTTCACCTTCTGCTGCGTACAGCAAAGCACGGTAGGAAAATACCTTTTTTTTGTTGTTGTTGTTTGTTTGTTTGTTTGCCAGGGCACCTTAAAAACCCATAGCAATTATTACCAACTGCCTTTCCGCCTTTTTCCCGGGAATATGCCCGTGTGACACTAGATGGAGCCTTCTGTGCGCGGGAGGAGCTCTGGAGTTGGGAGCAGCTCTCCCAGCAGTGCCCTCTGAAAATCGTGTAAATGCCATCGCCGCTGGAAGCAGGGATGGTGCTCAGTGGGAAAACACGGTGGGAAAGGATTTCTTACACCTGCAGAGGGCAAAACTCACCTGGATTGAGTGACTCAAACTCCCTTCTACACCTGAACCGAGAGGCAGGACTGCACACAGCATTTTTAAAGTGGATTTTTAGGGCTCCCTGCCTGCAGCAGGGGGGGGAATGAGGTGAGCTGGGAGGCCCCTTCCAGCCCAAACCAGCCTGGCATTCCCTGGCTCTGAGGGATGTGGAGAGGCAGAGTTGTGCTCGTGGCTTTGGCAACACGTAGGGATGTACAGAACTGCCTGTCCTTCAAATTTCTGGCTGTCTGTAGCTGTCTTTCTTGGGAAAATCGTTCAAGTGTGATAATTATTTGATGATGTGGCTTTGGTGGCCATGCTGTGGTGGGGAGCACCTCCCAGTGCTCTGCTTACAGCAGCAGAATGGTGTCACCATTCTGAGCACACCCTCAGCCCCTGAGAGCGCCCAAAAATGCGGATTTTGGGATGCCAGTGTCAGGGGAGAGGGAGCCTGGCATGGGCTGTGCCATCTCGATTGTTCTCTGCCAATTTCACACCCAGTGTGAACAGCTTGGACACTGCTGGCACCCAGAGTGATGAGAGGATAATGAGAAAATGCAATTAGCAAACAGATTTGGGGCATAGTGTCTCTGTTTTGTTGAGGATGAGAACTGAGAGGGGACTTGTAGGAAGCTCTGGGAGAGGGATGCTCATGGAGGGGAGATCCTCTTCCCCAAGGCTTTCAAACTGCAGAAATGGATCTGCCCCTTCCCTGGAGGTGTCCAAGGCCAGGCTGGAGGGGCTTGGAACCACCTGGGATAATGGAAGGTGGGAGAGGGGTGGATTTGACAGGATCACTTCACTGGGAGAACAGAAAATGAATTCAGTCCTTCAGTTCTTGAAGAGACCCCCAGGACCATCGAGTCCAACCCAGCTCAAAACCCAACACCCAGTGCCACATCCAGGCTTTGTTAAACACACCCAGGGATGGTGACTGCACCCCCTCCCTGGGCAGCCATTCCAGAGCTTTATCACCCTTTGAGAGGACGTTCAGGCTGGCACAGGGATCCCCAGGGCTGGCACAGGGATCCCCCAGGGCTGGCAGGGATTCCCTGTGCCCTGAACCACTCCCAGTGCTGCCCCAACCCAGCCCAGCTCAGGGGTGGCACAGCCAGCTCAGGAATTCTCTTTATCCTTGTTCTAACAGCTCTGTCCCTGGTTCTGCTGAGGGCACAGGGTGTGTGCCTGGCCCTGGAAATGTTGTCTGTGCACAGGGAGCAGGGAATGAGCTGGAGCTGGACAGATACAGCCTCCAACAGGGAGGGAGCTCCTCCAGGCACCCCCTTTTGGCATTTTTGGGATCTTTTCCTGCTGCTCAGGCTGTGTTTGCAGTCCTTTTTGCCCAGGGAAGGTTGGAGTGCCCATCCCTGGAGGTGTCCAAGGAATTCCTGGAGCTGGCACTCAGAGCTCTGGGCTGGGGACAAGGTGGGGATGGGCACAGCTGGGACTGGAGTTGTTTTCCAGCCTGAATGATCCTGGGATTCCATGGTTCTGTGGCAGCTGGGTACCTGAGCAGACCTCATTAACTTCAGATCAA